CTGAGAAGTTCATCCTGCTACATACATACTCTAGTCACCACTTTAATTTTGCTGGCTACAAAATTGATTAAATTAGATAATCCTCTCAAAAGGCTTGTCCACATTGCGATGGAGGTGTGTGGTTTTATTATAAATCCAAATAGAATTACCTTCCCACTCGCTACATGAGGCCTTATTGTTTGTACAGGTGTTGCTTCTCTCAAACTTTCACCTGGTCATTATTTTACAGGCTCTTCCATTAAACAAATATCAGGAGATTGATAGAGAGACAATTAAACTAAACCATGCAATGATTATAAAATAAACCCATTTATAGGGCCAATTGTGCGAAATTACTCGCTGGTCCGAATGCATGGATTTAAAGTATTAGTCAATTAGGTGAAAGTGCAAGAGATTTAAGTTTTACGAGTTTCGCTGAAAAAAGTTTTAATGGATCATCGGGGTAGAAAAGTTCAAGAACTGATCCATTTTGTAGTTAGTAAGGTCTTAGTTCCGAACAAATTCTCCTTAGTCAGATGATAATCTGGGAAATGCAATAAACTGCGATGGGGATACAATTATAACATCTCGATTGTCTTTCAGGTGGATTAGTCCTCACCGGAAATGACATGCAGTGTGACTGCAATTTAGGTAACTCCATCTTTTTATTGTCCTTCCCACTTATAGTGACCACTAATTACATAATTTTGCGCAATAACTCCACAGTCTGGCTGGGCGACTGGCTCCGTCGCTGGCTGCGAGAGTCCTATGAATCTCATTCTGCCCTAATTCCCGAAGTCCACGCCATGTACGACTTAATCAGTGCGACGACCTGCCTCGACTCCAGATTCGCCGACACCAGAATTCCTCTCGTCCAGCTCTACCCCGACCACATCTGCCACGCCTCCGCCCTCTCGCCTGCTAACTCACTTCCTCCCAAACACTTTAATGTCCACACTTTCCTAATTATTGTCCTGGCCCTCCTCCTCTCTTGACAAGGCGGTCGACAACTTTAGGACAACTTATCACCCAATCTTCTTTTAGCCAAGAAGGAGAGAAGACAACGGTCGGGGGTATGTGGCGAATCTGGAATTCTGCTCACTTTTACTTACGTTTACTTTGTATACGGACGGAGGACTTCTTACATATGACGATAGTTACATAAGTTGTGGAATGTAGACGAAAGAGAGAGATATGACTATTTTTCGCGTTTTTCGTAAATGAACTGATTGTGGTCAGTGTCCACAAAAAAGTTTTGCAGTAATTAAATAAAATCAAACTATTATATATACACGTGATTTTAATTTTCATCTCGCATTATGAACAAAAGTTATTATTCGCGATCCAGTTTAATGCTCTCTCAAATAGATTCTTTGTTAATTGTTTAAGCATGCCGTCTTTGGCAAAAAAACTTGTTAAGTCCAGATACCATATAAAGGGATCATTTTCATAAAGTCACATTTTCAAAAGATAAGATACATTCAGGTAAGCATACAAAATGTACTTCTACATAGCTCCAGGTAAACACATGCCTCATACTTCTGAAAAAAGGTAGAAGGAGTATCGCGTATCAATTTATGACTCCACTTTTATCTCTTAATGTACTCTGCTATCTCCGCCTCTTTCGCATCGGACACATTTTCTACAGGGGAGAGCAATAAAGTAATTGCTGACCACAAGAGTTGGGAAATCAAAGGTTAACTGGGAGAAAGTTGATACACCCGAGAGAGCAGAGGGAGAGAGAAAGTGGAGTAAGTAAAGTAACTCGACACAGGCCAACAGATTGAACAACTGGGCAGAACTAATCAGCATGAACAATCTATGGAGAGCTTCTAGTTCTGGTGGATGCTGGAGGAGAATCTAGTCTTTGGATCTCATCCTTGCTTACTTTCATTCATGCCTCCACAGCCACTACTGCACTTCACTAACCAATCCAATTCAATCCACTTTCCCATCTTATTTCTTACCCATCTTATTTCTTACCCTCCTTTCTCATCGTGGACCTTTCTTCTCGCTGGATTTGGGCAAGGAGATGGTTTTTAATCTCAGAATGAGTACAGACCAGTCGAATCTGCTGAAATAGTTGAGAAACTTGGGTGGAAATTTTTGACAACATTTTTTACGTATTCGTACGTAACAAAAGCATGTAAAATTTTGACTTACTCTACTATTTTATAATATGTATATCTTTCTACATACTTGATTGATTTGACAAAGAAAATGTTAACATCGCTATAAAGATGAAAGTTGAAAGAGTGTCTGTCCTTCAGTTATTTTTTACAACTTAGTTATACAAATGCCTACCAAGTTTTTTGAAATACTTTTTAAACAATGTAGGACAAGTGAGAACTAAACCATATCACAACCGCAATCCTCCCAGGTTTTATAAATACTAAAAAACGGATTTATCTTCTCTATTGTAGAATTATTCAACACGGAATTATTCATTAGTGAATCTCCATGCTAATGGAATCAAAAAATTAATAAGTCGTACTGACTTTAAGGATGAAAGAATTGAGATTGCGGTGTAAACATTTTAAAGAGCGACGCATTTCAACTGTACCAATGATAATACATAAATAAATATTTACTAGAATAAGGACAGGAGAGACAACATGCTAAATTATTCAGCTTGTAAACCAAGTCATTCAGGTATTTACAATTCCATACGACTGCAAGAACATAATGTATATAGATCATCTTGTTTCATTTAATGTGAAGAAATAGTAACATGTGTATCGTGGCAATACTACAATATCATATTTTCTTAACAAATTTAGTACTTTTTAGCCCGAGTCAGGGCTTATGTAACCGTCATGTCCGTCCGTCCGTCTGTCCGTCCGTCTATCGATAACTCTCTTTAAACTTATCCGATCGGGTTGAAATTTTCAGCATATGCATATTGGGCAAAGTTAGGAATCAAGTTCGAAGATGAGCCAAATCGGTCCACTGGTTGACCGGTGGGAGTCAGAAAGGTGGTGGGGGTATTATGTACCAAAATTTCAAAAAAGTCCTATAAAGCTGAAATTTGGTATGGAGGTCGCTGATGTCATTTAAGGAAAGAATACGAAGTAAAATTGCAAAAATTTTCATCAGGAGGTACCCTGCAGGGCAACCCATACCGATTTTGAAATATTGTCCTAGAAGCCTGAAATTTGACATGGAGGTCCATAATGGCCTATAAAGACAGATTATGAAGTAAAATTTGCAAAATTTTCACCCAGAGGTACTCTATGGAGTGACCCCACCGATTTTGAAATATTGTCGTAGAAGCCTGAAATTTGGCATATAGGTCTCGGATTGTTTCTAATGAGATAATATAACATGAAATCACAAAAATTTTCACCCGGGGGTACCCTATGGGATCATCCACACTGGTTTTTTAAAATCCTCCAGTTGAGCTGAAATTTGGTTTAGAGATTGCTAATGACTTGCAGATAACTAGGGTAAAGTTAAATTTAAAAAAAAATCAATCATGGTTGTCCTAGTGTGTGACCCACACTGATTATGAGAAGTTGTCGTAGTAAGACGAAATTTTTTACATACTCGTAGAATGGCTTCTTATAAAGGAACAAGAACTTGCAAAAATGTTACGTTTAACAGTTATCTGATGCCAAATAATCGGATTGGTCGGTAAAATGCATACACCCTGACTCGGGCTATCTAGACACTGCACACTGTAGGTTTTTAAATTATATAACCTTAAATAAATTATTATCACTGTTAAATTGGATTTAAAAAAATATATAGGTAGTTTACAGCTTAAATAGTGTAGAATCAGAACTGTGGATTGCATATTAAGTATATTTAATTTCTCATTATTACATTTAAGTTTCATTGAGGTGAAGTGTATTTCCACCTCTAAATAAATAATATTATTATCTCGAGTTGTGTGAATAATACGCAAAGTTAAGCAGTGTAATATTTCGACCACGCGACGAAATAACAATACAATTTCTTGTCAACCTTCGCATAACTTCTCTTCACGAGCATATTATCCGTCCTGGTGGTAATAATTACTCCTTAAAATTTTAATAGTGATATTACTCACTTTAATAGCAGCCAGCTAATCAACCTCACCAACCGTGGGGAAGGTGAGTAATTTCGAGACTTGTATTAAGTAAGTTTAACGTGTTCTCTCCAATATTCTCAACTTTATTGATGACGAGCAAGTTTTACGATGTTGAATTTGAATTATATTATAATGGCGAGAGGGGGGATAAAATAATCATAAATTTGGCATTCGAATTATATTCGCATACATTCCTCAGTTAGGGAAAGGTTAATCAAAATACATAAACCTATTTCTCGTGTTTTACTTTTCGTTTCTGTTATCTCTTAATGTAATTACAATAAATTTCAAAAGTGCATGTAGCTCGTTAAACTAAAACTTATTATAATTTTGGTTTATACACTTGAATATTTATATTGAAGTAAATAAATATATACAATTCTGCTTTCTCTTAAAGATATAAGAAATATTAGACATTGCTCGGGATCTAAATACACAGAGTATTTTTGGTGCATGGTCCGAAAGTGAAGGTGGAAGGAGTTAATTAAAAACAGGAGAGAATAGTTCATAAATAAATTATCACTAAGGAGAAGACACGCAACTCAAAGATTCCAAGTGTTTTACTTATAAAGGAACGCTGCGCCTGGAAATGGTGACTGCGTATGCATATCTCCACGACTGCAGTCTTACTCACCTGGAGGGCATTGAAGAGGTGGTTTGTCGTCTCCATAAAAGGACGGTGGTACGTAAGACGGGTGCCATTCTCGAAATAATCAAATTAGTAGCGACTGAATTGCATGCTCTTGAGGAGTCTTATACGAGAAATTGGAGGATGTTATAAAAATAGGACTGCATTTTCAGGTCGTTGTCTGTTTAAAAATTATTAATTTTGAAAATAATGTGATTTTAAACAAAAATTTTGTATCGAGATAATAAATTAAATTATTATTTATGTGCCGTGTGCTTTCAGATATAATATTTTCCTTCGTAAGAGAAGGACAAGTGGTAGATGGGAAACTTTTATTGTGATCATGGCCCAGGTTACCACGCTTTCTTCCATGGCTACGAAAACCAGCAGCATCCTCCTCCTGGATTGCATCAAATGGCTGCGTTGTTTTCCTATCGTGGGAAATATTTAGACTTGAGCAACTGTGGGAGTGAAAGTAGGAAAACATCCACTGGGGCTACCTGGGAGGAAGGAAGACTGGTATGATGTACGGTTATCTTTTTGACGCTACTGGAAGAGAACAATGGAGACAGAGTTGCAGGTTCACAAAATGCTTCGCCCCTGACTCTGCACTTTAATAATTTTCATGTTTCTCTTACACCATGTCCTCTTATAAAGGGGGTAGAAAAATTAAATTTCTTCTGGGGAAGTGTGAATATAATGTGAGACAGTCCCTCCTACTGGATGAGATTATGGGTGATGCGTCTCATAAAATGGATGAGAAATATGTACATATTATTATGTTGTATTAGAGTAGAGCAAACTACTCTATTCTTGTGAGTTTTCCAATTTGTGAAATAATAATTTTTCAGGACTGTCATTACGCTCCATACAATTGTTTTGGAGGGTGGGAAAATAACGGTTTCATCACACATCAAACCCTCTAAGCAACAGCTGTTTGAGTCCGATGAGCGTTTCATGTGAATTCGAGCATCCTGAAATTCTCACATCTTGCAATATCACATTTCTGTTTATTTTTAGTCGCAAACATCACACGCCATTGTGTGGCGAGATACAAGCGCTGCATTCTTGTTTTTATCGCGAGAGATCCGAGATTTCATGGCTGAATGGCAGCAGCACTGCTATCCTGCAGGAGCGTCAGATCAAGTGAATCGCATTTCTGATGACATACATTGTTCCGAGAGAGACTCGAGCGAAATAGAGCTTGCACATAAAAAGAGGCTTAAAAAAGTAGAGTGCCACATCCGTAACTGCATGCATACTTGTATTCACAGGTTGTACGTACAAAAGTGCCACACAGAGCGTGGAGGAAGTCGAAAGAGGAAGGGTTGGTGGTCTGGTTTTGGTTGAGACGCTCTCTCTCTCTCGCCACCTTCTTTTTGGGCGAAAGTCTCTCTGCTGACGGTCCTTTCCTTCAGACTTTGGTGAGCGAGTAGTAGAAGTGGAGGCTGTGTTGGTAGAGCGTAATAATAAAAGATACCTCAAATAAGCGTTCCTGGCTTGCTCTGCTCCTGGTTCCTGTCGGTGCAACTCAAGAAGAGCGAGGAGGAAAGACAGATTGGGAATAAGGAAAAAGAGGGAGGAAATTATGTCATGAAATTATTTCAGGAAGTTAGATCCTCAAACATTACGATTTATGTTGAAGGGAAGTCTTCCTTATGACAAGGAACTCTTGAAACCACAAAACCGCTTGTTGAGATATATTCTTGAACAACCATACAGTAGGGATATGGCTTGTGCAATTTTGGGTTTGCAGAAACAGGTATTTAATTTTTAATTAATTGTAATAAATTGAATTTTTAAAAATTAATTGATTTAACGATCAATAAAAAAATTATAAAATCCTATCTTCTTTGAACAGCACAAATTAAGATGCGCAGCATTGGAAGAACGATTGGTGGAGCTGATTTTGGCTGCAATGGAAAGAACAGAGGTCGAAATGGGCCAGACATTGGATGGACAATCATCTGATGAGGCCTTGCCATCCACTTTGTCATTATGGCAGCACTTATCAACACAATTAATTTTCTTTGTTCTTTTTCAATTCGCCAGCTTTCCCGTTATCGTTACCAATTTATATATAAAGGTGTGTACGTATTGGTTAAGTAAAGATAATAATAGTATAAATTAGTTTACTCATTATAATATAATTCCTACTTTTAATAGATTTCCGATGTTAAACTATTCAAAGGACGAGATTTTCTAATGTGGATTTTACTTCAATTCATTTCTGGAAGCATTCAAAAGAACCCCGTAAGTTTTATTATGTATACATTTATATTTTTTTAGAGATGATTAGAAAATATCAACATTGTCTAATTTTAGCTTAGTGATTTCCTTCCTGTACTCCGCCTCTATGATGTTTTATATCCTGAGAAAGGTATCAATCAATATTCTTAGATTTAAATTTTTTTATTGAATGTAAATTAATCTTGATATATTTATTTAGAACCACTTCCAGTGCCCGATATGACCAAACCCGTTGCGACTGCTCAGGTAACTGAATGTTTTTATTCAGTTGTTGGAAACTATATCTTGGCCGACAATTTGTTGTAATACATTAAAACACCGTCTTATTATTAACCTGCTCAGATGTCTGCTACATGCATATGGATTCACATTTTGAAAAAAGCACAAGGAGAAAATCAGACACTTCCAAGACCTCTTCCATCAACTCTAAAAAATCAGTATGACTATCTTCAAAGTATGGTGCAACCATCTAGTTCCCAAATTCCATTACAAGTGAATGATCATTGGTAATTTTTATACATGTGTTTAAGTCTATTTAGAAATATTTTCAGTTGCTTTCTGTTGATAATGTCGATGATGATATGGAAAGGTTTCGTGTATTACAATTACTTTTTATTGTAGCTACCGTGTAGCCTTGTTGTGCAATGCTTATTCGACGAACCAAGAGCATTTTTCTAGGTATGATGCATTTTAATGAGATTTTTATTGCTATCTATAATGTACATACGCACATAACTAGCATTATTTTGTTACGAAATTGTTTAGGCCCATGGCAGCTTTAGTAGAAGCAATTCATGGAAGCACGACTGGAACTCCAACTGCAAATCTAAGCCCCACAACGCCTCTTTCCGTCCAATGTCTGGACTCCTTGACAGTGCATACAAAGATGAGCTTGATCCATAATGTAAGTTAATTGATTCTCATTCCTCCCGTTCCAATAAACAACGCCTAACGTACACCGTGCTCTTATGTAATTTTAAGATTGTAACACATATCATGAAGGTTGCTCAGTCAAAATCAAATCAAAATTTGGCTCCGGCCTTAATTGAAACATATGCCAGATTACTTGTATATATGGAAATTGAGTCGTTAGGGATCAAAGGCTTTATTTGTAAGTACTTTTACATCCATCATAATTTGTTTTTAATTTAAGAATTCGAATAATTTTTCCATTTCTTACAGCACAACTCTTGCCAGCTGTGTACAAGTAACTTAAACTAAAACTAATGAAATAAAACATATTTGCACTTACATTTCCACACTTAATCAACGCAGTAAAAAAATTACTAATCTTTTATTTCACAATGTTCCACAGGTCTCAAGCATGGGGAATTTTGCACACGCTGGTAATAATAATAATATATTGTCCTTATATTATAGACTTTGGTTGGTACAATATTGTTTTGTATCTTTATAGTTGGAAATGTTTTGTTATCGCTTGCATCACATTCAACCACATTACCGAGTTCAATTGTTGACACATTTGCATTCTTTAGCCACTAATACTCACACAAGTTCCGCCCAACTTCATTTATGGTTCGTCTTGTACAAATATATATGTATCTCAGAAGAATTGAATCCCCATTCTATTTTATCATTTTTGTTAATTTTATTATGATTTCAGTGTTGAAATGACATCATTACGGTTGATTACTGGGTTCAACAGTGTTGATGTACAAACTCAATTGTCACGTGTTACTGGAGAAACAAAATCCCTTGTGTCGACAGAGTCAGAAGAACTAAATCGAGCTTTGGTGTTGACCATTGCAAGAGCGATTCATGTTGGAGTACTCGCACTTCAAAAAGTCTCGAAACACCTTCCGACCCCCACCGTTCCGCATCAGTTTCTCAAACGAGTCCCCCCAACTGCGGATCTCCTCCAGCCTGTGCGACAAAATCACACATTTACATCCACACCTACCCTATATTTTCCATTTCCATGCAATCTCGCACGCGTTAACCCTAATTGATGGGGTCGTCATTATTCAACATCGATATAATCATCGCTTCTACACAAGAAATAATACTTGGATCAGGGAAAGTACTAAAAACCTACAGTGTGCAGTGTCTAGATAGCCCGAGTCAGGGTGTATGCATTTTACCGACCAATCCGATTATTTGGCATCAGATAACTGTTAAACGTAACATTTTTGCAAGTTCTTGTTCCTTTATAAGAAGCCATTCTACGAGTATGTAAAAAATTTCGTCTTACTACGACAACTTCTCATAATCAGTGTGGGTCACACACTAGGACAACCATGATTGATTTTTTTTAAAATTTAACTTTACCTTAGTTATCTGCAAGTCATTAGCAATCTCAAAACCAAATTTCAGCTCAACTGGAGGATTTTAAAAAACCAGTGTGGATGATCCCATAGGGTACCCCTGGGTGAAAATTTTTGTGATTTCATTTTATATTCTCTCATTAGAAACAATCCGAGACCTATATGCCAAATTTCAGGCTTCTACGACAATATTTCAAAATCGGTGGGGTCACTCCATAGGGTACCTCTGGGTGAAAATTTTGCAAATTTTACTTCATAATCTGTCTTTATAGGCCATTATGGACCTCCATGTCAAATTTCAGGCTTCTAGGACAATATTTCAAAATCGGTATGGGTTGCCCTGCAGGGTACCTCCTGGTGAAAATTTTTCAAATTTTACTTCGTATTCTTTCCTTAAATTCCATCAGCGACCTCCATACCAAATTTCAGCTTTCTACGACTACTTTGAAATTTTGGTGCATAATCCTTACTTGTTCATCCAGTTTATCGTTGAGAATTCCAAATCTAGACCATACAAAATTTAGTAATAAATCCCAGATAAAAAAAATCAGAAGAAAGATTTTGGAAATTACGTGGTCATTTGAGTTTTGTCATCAGGTATTATTGTATTTTTCACGAAGCTCCCGCACGCAAAATCGTAGAAATTGACGCTAAAAATATATTTCAAAGATGTAATACTTTGAATTTTGGGACAGTTTCTATTAATAAAAGTTGATAATTTTAAAAAACAATACCATGGGTCTACTTCTTCATCCATGTTTTCAATAATTGCAGCAGCTACATTATGAAATTAATGAAAATGTGTGCTAGTTAGTTGTGCATACTTTATGGAGCTATGTAAGTATTTATTAAATATTATCACTAATTTATATACATACCTGTTCGGACACATCCCTTGGTGTTGCAGATACCGGGTTCGGCGTCTTGGAGGCTGCTGTCATCGACTAGTGCTTCTGGTGAAGGCATATACTCAGAATTTGGACCAACTGTTAATAAATGTAAGTGCCAAGTGCTCAAGCATGCCAAACATAAGCCACAAACCACGTTCGTGTGTACATAATAAATAAATAATTTAAAATAATAATACACCTTACACCATCAACAATAAACTGTTTGGAGTGAATTTCAAAACATTCGAATTAGCTCTTTCCGGCTCAAGAAACAACATCAGTTACATACGCAGTCTTCTCTATTTTACTTTGAAGATTACTCTACGCCATCGTGGGTAAACGAGCCAAGGTGAGACGGGTGATGAGGTGAGACTGATCACACAACAACTCATCAATCTTAATTAAATCAAAAACTTACAAAATGGGGACAAACACGTTGATTAGATCTAATCCGTTAAGGTATTATCGTGCCTAGGAAAATTTTGATAAATTTGTTTAACCAATAAGTTATTGAGATATGCAATTTCTGTCCAAACGTAGTAAAACTGTCTCAATTTTAGTTTAAAAATTAAAATTATGTTGATGGTGTAAGTTGTAATAAATAATAAATAAATAGACAAATAAATAAAATAAATAAATACAAAGCACACCACATTAACACTTTTCAGGGATTTTCATTTGAAATTTTGAGGGGGTAATAATGGTCAATTTGGTTTTGTTGAATCATATTTCATGCCTCTAAAAAAGACTTCATATATATATATATATATATATATATACATATATATATATACATACATGCGTTCATGCACATATGCACATTGTGCTATCATAAAATTCAAAATCTATTTTCATTTCAGTACATTATATCTACATGTATGTAGTATATTAGGGTAGAGAACACGTAATTAAATATTAGTGATATCTCTGCAAATAAATATTTGTACAGCTTCAAATCAAATAAATAAGTAAACAAAGGTAAAAAATTATACAAGTGCAATACATCAACGCAGTCAGCAGTTGAAGCGGTCGTCGTGTTTTTGTGTGCCTTGCATATTTGTATTGGACATTAAGTTTGATTTCAAGCCAATCAAGCTGATTGGTGTCCAAAGTGAAAATTTCGAAAACGGAACGTACCTCGTAAAGCGGAGTTTGTGGAGGCAAGGGCGACAACTAGTGCAGCGCACGCCACGAAGAATACGCACGCGGACACTAACAGACCTCTTTCCAGTCTTGTCCTTCGATTCCACCATGGGGGATTTCTACAAATAGTAACAAATTTGATAAAAATATAAGTAACTACCTAATTACGTATGTATGTATAAATTAGACTAACATGCAAAATACCCCATTCTGTTCTCCTAATGACATTTTTATAATATTTTTGAGGCACACACTTAGGAATTCGTTTTAAATACTTATTTATTATCTCAAAGCTAATATCTCAAAACCAAAATTGTTGATTTGATCACGTCACTTATTTCCTTGCTATCTTATTAAGTTTTCAAGATGAGAAGTGGTAGCTTTTAACCTGAGTCACACAACTACCATACAATAATTACAATAATTGTATATCAAATATTGAGTCATTCTTTGATAAGTGCGCAAACAATACTTAACCGAGTCGAAATAAGCGAAAGAAGTATGTAATATCATGAGAAACCTACAGTTCTTATGCAAGACCAACAAACTTGAATTTTTATAACGTACAAAATTAAACCAAATTATTGAAAACAATAGAATTACGGTATCGTGGGAAAATGTGAGACTTTAAGTTCAATGGTGGAATAGCTCAAAGTTAATATTCAGTACATACATAAGTACAGGTTCATAACTATACTTGAAGAATAAATACTGAGATGGGAATTACGTGTAAAGTGTGTAAACGGAATATTACATTCATGTTTGTATGGTTTCAAGATATTCTTAGAGTTGTTTCCCGTCACTACGAACCGTTGAATAAATGTGATAATTGAATTTACCTGAAGGTTTTGGATGACTGATTCAAAACCACTCCGTTACTATTGTTGGGCTGTTGCTGCATGGTTAGCACTTTTATATCTACTTTGATACCGTCGTTGTTGTTGTTTGCTTTAGCTCAGGTAGGAGAATAAAAATAATTCACCATTCTTGTGTCAAGTTATTCAATACAGTAAGTTTTTCTCAGTAGGGGAAAATGTTATTCATATTTCCCATTATGATTACTGTTTTTCAACGAAAGAAAGAGAAACACCGTCGTGGAAATGTCCATGATAATACAACACACTTTAACACACGGTAGTTTCGTAAGGCCATCCAGGTGGATTATAATTGGCTAAATATGTTTACTGAGAGATCCAATTTCACGAGATCATGAAAAACTACAATAATACTTTCTCTCTGGTGGGCTTTCTGAAGTTGCTCAGAGTTTTCGTTTTGTGAGGAGAGATGAGACGAGGAGGAGAAATTCGGTGTGATCCAGCACCTGAGTGAGTTGAGAAACTGAGCGGAAAATGAGACGCTCCGTGGATGAAGAAGAAAGCGAACGCTCGTCCTCGGTGGTGAACACACACAAAGCAAAAAGGCTCAATTAACAGAAGACCATCTAACAGAGAAAGACCCGATTTAGCTGTATGCAGAGATCACTGCTTTTCACTCATGGACTCGCACAGCATAATAATAGTACATAATGACATATAGGTTTAGGGACTACCAGTCCTGCTCCTTATTCGAATTTCAGATAATAGATCCGATAATGCCCAACAACCACATGAAGGCCGGGAGCAGTGGTGGAACAAAAGAGCTCAAATTCCAAAGATAATAGAATTACAAGAAAAGGTGTCATGTACTGAAAGACTGGTGTCTTTTCTACAAAGTGGGGTAAAAAGCTATATACTTATTGTGTATCATTTACTAATAACTAGTCAAGTCTTTGTTACTGGGTTAACACGTGGATAATTGTTATCTTTTTGTATCTGTCATTTCAAATCTCAAGGTTATTCGACACTGAAATCCGACTGCTAAAGCCCTTCCGAAAAATGTCAAATATAAAAATGTTACTACTCAATTTCCATCATGTTTGGCATTAAGGTTACTCTGACATAGGACCATTACAGTGTAGTTATTATGCTGACTGATGAACAGCGAATCTCATCAACGTGTCATACATAGATAGTAATACTCGATTGAAGGATGGCCAAGAAGAAAACTTGTTAAAATTCTTAGATAACGACGATAGGTTACAGATACACTATCTAACTTATATAAAGCAGGAGATTTGTATGCAGCACAATAAGTAGGGTTTTATAAGTGCTTAGCAGGAGTCACCACATCATAGTTTTCAAACTCTGACTTAAACCCCAGTTTCATTTCCTTATACACAATTACATACTGGTGAAATCGAGACTAGTCAATATTACACAGCACAGTTACTTGGGATACAATATTGCCAGACGTAATTGGTAATTAAAGATTAGATTCGGAGAAATTAATGTGTAGCCACAACAGAAACTAAAGTACAGATTCTATTATTCTCCGAATTATATAGAAATTATGTTGTACTGTACGGTTAACAAAAATATGCAATCCTTGGGTGGGCTGAAAATTTGTTTACGTCGATGGAACAGCTAAAAAAGGACTGACTGAGGAGAAAACTCATGCAATACTTGTAACCCAGTCAATATAATGCCGTAATAAACAAAGAATAACAGCGTCGCATCAACTGAATTCCCGGTTGACAGGAAAGATTTATGATTAATAAAGTACGAGAACGAGTGAGTGAGGACAAGATGTAGTGGTACATATACATTGAACACTTGAATTGTTGGTGAACATCTCATTCTTCCAAGTGGGAACATAGTCATATATTTCGCAATTCTGTCCAGTGTTTGTACATACACTGCCACTTTACTTGCCCAAGAGTGAAATGCTTAGGCCATTATTTTGGCCGACTTGTGAAAATAATGCCAAGAGTCAAGAGATTGTAAGGAAGAAGAGTATATCGTTTTTCATGTAAATTGAATGCTACTCTTGTTGATACTATTTAATATGGTACATTAATGGAGACACTTGTCCTGATAGTCCTCAAGTAGGTAAACATGATATATCACTGCAACATAAACAGCCAAGGTATAGTACTTTTGTTCAGAATTATGTATCTTATGAATCATTATGATATAGAATGATTGAATATTTGAAGACATCTCAGGTTTCTTAGATTCTTTTATCATGTTCCCATTTTAATTTCATTCATACTTTTTTTTCAAAAGGTGTCATCTGCTTAGACATTCTCAAGGATAACTGGTCCCCTGCTCTGACGGTTTCCAAAGTGTTACTCTCAATATGCAGCCTTCTCACAGACTGCAATCCAGGTATTCTAATATTGAGATGGTACATTAACAATACTAATGCACTTTTAATTTTGTTATGATATAGCGGATCCTCTAGTTGGATCTATTGCAACACAATATCTTCAAAATCGTGAAGAACACGATCGTGTTGCTCGATTATGGACAAATCGTTATGCTACATAAATTGATCCAATAATCAAAATAATAACTACCTCTTCGACTCTTCGCTCTATTGAATTTTTGTGCCGGTGATGAGCAAAATCGAAACTTTTTAATTAAATCAATCGAAAATCTAGTAGACACCATTTCGTGTTTTTAGTAAACCAGTTATATAAACAAGCCAAGACTAATTTAAATTGTTGATAGTACAAGGAAATAAAAAAACCTTCGCAGCTGTATTTTTGATCGTGATATCAGTTTGTATC